ATTATTAAGAACCAACAATTTGACAAACTCATCACAATAAATTTACTTCTAATTATTATCTTCTCCTTTTTCTTCTTCTTCTCCTTGTCCCTCTTCATCTTCTTCCTTCTTTCTTCTTGGCCTTTTGGTTTTTTTTTTTTTTTTTTTTTTTTTTTGGCTCTTTTTCTTATCTTTTCCACCACTCCCTTCTCCCTTGATTTTTCTTTCCACTACTAATCATCAATAAGCCACTAACATTAATGTCTATAACTAACTTATTATAACAAAACATAATCAGAATCCTCATTTTTTTTAGATTTTTTTAGTTTAACCAACAATGTGAATGAACTTTTGGGCTCACACTACACGAGCGAGGACTATATGCCAAGTTGGAGAAGTGTTTATTTCACCAAATAGAGATGGAGTTTCTGGGGTTCGTTGCGACTACAAAAGGCTTGAAGATGGACCTGAAGAAGGTGGAAGCAATCATGTCCTGGGACGTTCCGAAGACGGTTAGAGACGTACAATGCTTTCTTGGTTTTGCCAACTTCTATCGGATCTTTATCAAAAATTACTCTCAAGTTGCTGCTCCTCTCACTCGGTTGACATGCAAGGATAAGCTGGAATGGGGACCTCTAGTAGAGAAGGCGTTTCAAAACCTGAAGACCGCATTTATTACGGCTCCAATCTTGGTACATCCAGACTTTACAAAGGCCTTCTATTTAGAAACTGATGCTTCGGATTTTACTTTGGGAGTTGTACTTTCACAAATGGGGGAAGACAAGAAGCTCCATCGGGTTGCATTCTATTCTTGAAAGTTCTCTGCTGCTGAAATCAATTATGAGATCCACGATAAGGAACTTCTTGCTATAGTGGATTCTTTCCAAGAATGGCATCACTTTCTTAAAGGAGCTGCACATCCAGTGACCGTATACACAGATCACAAGAATTTGGAGTATTTCATGTCGGCTCGAGTTCTAAATCGACGTCAAGCTCGATGGAGTATGTTGCTATCTAGGTTCGATTTTATTATCACTTATCGACCTGGAAAGCAACAAGGACTATCTGATGCCTTATCGAGGAGATTGTATCTTGTACCAAAGGCTGGAGAAGCAGCGTTTGATCAACAATGTATGACATTGTTGAAGCCAGAGCAATTTCAGCTTTGCGCTACTATTATGCCAATTGATGCTGACTTCCTGAATCAGGTACGTGTCGTAACCATTGAAGATTCAGTAGCCATTGATATTAAGTAGCGTGCCAATGACGACAAGTTCAAGGTGGAGGGAGATCTTTTATATTTTGAAGAGCGGTTATATATCCCAAAAGGACCAGCACGACTCCGAGTTCTTCAATCTCGCCACGATTTTCCAGCTGTGGGACATTTTGGATTCAACAAGACCTTGGAGCTTATTTCTCAAGATTTTTGGTGGCCCCAAATGTAGAAGGATGTGAAAGATTTTGTCCTCTCCTGCGACATCTGTTCAAGATCCAAGAATCCTCGGCATCGCCCTTATGGACTCCTACAGCCATTATCGATTCCACGTCGATCATGGTCTTCAATTTCCATGGACTTCATCACGGACCTGCCATCATCGAACTCATTTGACAGCATCTTTGTCGTGGTAGATCGGCTTACAAAAATGGCGCACTTCGTCCCTTGCAAGAAGACATCATCCAGTGAAGTCACAACTAGGCTCTTTCTCAATAATGTGTATCGATATCATAGACTACCAGATGATATCGTATCAGATCGAGGAACCCAATTCGTATCAAAGTTTGGAGATCTCTCTTTGAGATATGAAGG